TCAGTCGTCGAAGTGTCCATTTTTCAGCAAGAAAGAGCTAAAAAGCACAAGGTCACCATATCAACAAGATCTAAGTCCAAGAAGGCCAAAAAGTACACGAAAGAGGATAGAGAGGACCGACAGATATCAGATTAGTCATTATTCATTGATTCATTAATCCTTCTGTTTATTTAATTTAAGTTAAGATAATCAAGCTGTCTAAAATTTTTGTATTTAAATTCAACTTGGTGTTTTGAGAGAATTGTTTTTGTCTTTCTCATTTATGTTGGCACAACACGCTTCTTCGAGCGCACCACTTGAAGACAGAGAGCTGTAAGCAGGCCCAGAGGCAGTGTCTGTAAATCCATAGGCATAACATTCTTCTTCGAGCGCACCACTTGAAGACAAAGAGCTCGACTCAGACCCAGAGGCAGTGAATACAGATCTACAACAAGATACTTCGAGCACACCACTTGAAGACAGAGAACTGGAGGCAGATCAAAAGGCAGTGAAATGAATCCAGAGGCACAAAAGGCGTTTTTGAGCACACCCCTTCAAGATAGAGGGATGGACGCAGAGACGAAACCATCAGTCGTCGAAGTGTCCATTTTTCAACAAGAAATGGCTAAAAAGCACAAGGTCACCATATCAACAAGATCTAAGTCCAAGAAATCCAAAAAGACCAAACAGTCCACAAAAGATGATAGACAGGAGGGACAAATATCAGATTAGTCATTAATCATTGAGTCGTTAATCTTTCTGTTTATTTAATTTAAGTGGAGATAATCAAGTTGTCTAAAATTTTTGTAATTTAATTCAGATTAGTGTTTTCATAGAATTGTTTTATTGTTTCTTAGAGATGTTGGCACAACACGCTTCTTCGAGCGCACCACTTGAAGATAGAGAGCTGGAGGTAGACCAAAAGGCCGTGAATATGAATCCAGAGGCACAAAAGGCGTTTTTGAGCGCACCCCATCAAGACAGAGGGATGGACGCAGAGACGAAACCATCAGTCGTCGAAGTGTCCATTTTTCAACACAAGGGCTAAAAAGCACAAGGTCACCATATCAACAAGATCTAAGTCCAAGAAATCCAAATAGTCCACGAAAGATGATAGAGAGGAGGGACAAATATCAAATTAGTCATTAATCATTGAGTCGTTAATCTTTCTGTTTTTTAAAATTAAGTGAAGATAATCAAGTTGTCTCAAATGTTTGTAATTTAATTCAACTTAGTGTTTTCATAGAATTGTTTTTGTGTTTCTCAAAGACGTTGGCACAACACGCTTCTTCGAGCGCACCAATTGAAGACAGAGAGCTGTAAGCAGACCCAGAGGCAGTGTCTGTAAATCCAGAGGCATAACATTCTCCTTCGAGCGCACCACTTGAAGACAAAGAGCTAGACTCAGACCCAGTGACAGTGAATCCAGATTTACAACAGGATACTTCGAGCACACCACTTGAAGACAGAGCTGGAGGCAGACCAAAAGGCAGTGAATATGAATCCAGAGGCACAAAAGGCGTTTTTGAGCACACCCCTTCAATATAGAGGGATGGACGCAGAGACGAAACCATCAGTCGTCGAAGTGTCCATTTTTCAGCAAGAAAGAGCTAAAAAGCACAAGGTCACCATATCAACAAGATCTAAGTCCAAGAAATCCAAAACGGCCAAGAAGTCCACGAAAGATGATTGAGAGGAGGGACAAATATCAGATTAGTCATTAATCATTGAGTCGTTAATCTCTCTGTTTATTTAATTTAAGTGAAGATAATCAAGTTGTCTAAAATGTTTGCAATTTAATTCAACTTAGTGTTTTCATAGAACTGTTTTTGTGTTTCTCAAAGACGTTGGCACAACACGCTTCTTCGAGCGCACCAATTGAAGACAGAGAACTGTAAGCAGACCCAGAGGCAGTGTCTGTAAATCCAGAGGCATAACATTCTTCTTCAAGCGCACCACTTGAAGACAAAGAGCTAGACTCAGACCCAAAGGCAGTGACAGTGAATCCAGATCTACAACAGGATACTTCGAGCACACCACTTGAAGACAGAGCTGGAGGCAGACCAAAAGGCAGTGAATATGAATCCAGAGGCACAAAAGGCGTTTTTGAGCACACCCCTTCAAGATAGAGGGATGGACGCAGAGACGAAACCATCAGTCGTCGAAGTGACCATTTTTCAGCAAGAAAGAGCTAAAAAGCACAAGGTCACCATATCAACAAAATCTAAGTCCAAGAAATCCAAAACGGCCAAAAAGTCCACGAAAGATGATTGAGAGGAGGGACAAATATCAGATTAGTCATTAATCATTGAGTCGTTAATCTCTCTGTTTATTTAATTTAAGTGAAGATAATCAAGTTGTCTAAAATGTTCGCAATTTAATTCAACTTAGTGTTTTCATAGAATTGTTTTTGTGTTTCTCAAAGACGTTGGCACAACACGCTTCTTCGAGCGCACCAATTGAAGACAGAGAGCTGTAAGCAGACCCAGAGGCAGTGTCTGTAAATCCAGAGGCATAACATTCTTCTTCGAGCGCACCACTTGAAGACAAAGAGCTAGACTCAGACCCAGAGGCAGTGAATCCAGATCTACAACAGGACACTTCGAGCACACTACTTGAAGACAGAGCTGGAGGCAGACCAAAAGGCAGTGAATATGAATCCAGAGGCACAAAAGGCATTTTTGAGCACACCCCTTCAAGATAGAGGGATGGACGCAGAGACGAAACCATCAGTCGTCGAAGTGTCCATTTTTCAACAAGAAAGAGCTAAAAAGCACAAGGTCACCATATCAACAAGATCTAAGTCCAAGAAATCCAAAAAGGCCAAAAAGTCCACGAAAGATGATAGAGAGGAGGGACAAATATCAGATTAGTCATTAATCATTGAGTAGTTAATCTTTCTGTTTATTCAATCTAAGTGAAGATAATCAAGTTGTCTAAAATTTTTGTAATTCAATTCAACTTAGTGTTTTCATAGAACTGTTTTTGTTTCTCAAAGATGTTGGCACAACACGCTTCTTCGAGCGCACCACTTAAAGATACAGAGCTGGAGGCAGAACAAAAGGCAGTGAATAAGAATCCAGAGGCACAAAAGGCGTTTTGAGCACACCCCTTCAAGACAGAGGGATGGACGCAGAGACAAAACCATCAGTCGTCGAAGTGTCAATTTTTTAACAAGAAAGGGCCAAAAAGCACACGGTCACCATATCAACAAGATCTAAGTCCAAGAAATCCAAAAAGTCCATGAAAGATGATAGAGGAGGGACAAATATCAGATTAGTCATTAATCATTGAGTCGTTAATCTTTGTTTATTTAAATTACGTGAAGATAATCAAGTTGTCTAAAATTTTTGTAATTTAATTCAACTTAGTGTTTTCATAGAATTGTTTTTGTGTTTCTCAAAGATGTTGGCACAACACGCTTCTTCGAGCGCACCACTTGAAGTTAGAGAGAAGTTAGAGACCCAGAGGCAGTGACAGTGAATCCAGATGCTCAACAGGATACTTCGACCACATCACTTGAAGACAGAGCTGGAGTTGGCAAAAATCGATTCAATTCATTCAAACTATTATTGATTTCAGATCCGATAGTTTTCTCAACACAATGAAACTTATATAGAAGGTGTTTTGATGGCTCTAAATAACCTCATTTGAAAATAGCTTGAATGATCTCCTTCCTAAACTCTGAAATATTTCATAGATTCAGATCTCATTTCATCGTTTTATTTGAGCCTGTACCCAGCCAATGATATCATCACTTCGGAATGTTTGCTCGAAATTCGATTCAATTCCATAAATTTATTGTCGATTTCAGATCCGATAGTTCTCTCATCTCATTGATCTTTACATAAAAGGTACTCTGATACCTCCATATGTCCTTTCTTAGAACTCTGAAATAATTTTAAAAGATATTTATCTCTTTCTATCAACTTAACTGAAATCTTTTACCAACCAATGATGTCATCACTTACGAACACTATTTAAATAAGGGTAGTTTTTTTTTGAATTTTGAGCAAGGAATCGAGCATGTTAGAAGTGACATTTATTTACCATTCCTATTAATTTGACAATGCTGTGAAGAAAGTTATTTATGGTCGGAAAAGGCTACTACCTGTATGCAACACCCTTGTTTATGGCAAGGGTAATTTTCGAAAACATAGCCAGCTGACAGTTGAAAAAGAGTAATGAACGCAAGGAAACTGAAAAAAAAACGACTTGTTCTGTCAAAATTTTTCAACTTTTGAATTTCGAAGAAAACAATAGATGGCCTTTCGAGACTTTCCTGAAAAAAAAACCAAAATGAAAATCAGCAAGACCTACATAAGAGTACTCACTACGTTCATTACTCTTAATAAAGCAAGTTCAATTTCTTACAGAGTTGTAAAAAAAATTGTTTACGGGGGAAAGTCTAGTTGCAGGTGTAATATGTATAATCCGTGCTGCGGCAACTAAGCGAATATAATTGAGCAAACTAACAATAGTCCGGCAATTTTTTCAACTCGCATATTTTTTAGTTTGCAAACACAGTACTGATATAAGAATTCATTCAAGTTTTTCGTGACCTTTTCACTTTAGCTCTTAGAGTGTAGAGTCTAGTCTGCCTTCATTTAACAAAGGAAATCAACTAAACTTAAAAAGAAACCGAAAGTCAAACCGCGAAAAATCATATTTGAGCGTGAACAAACTCAATGAGTCTTAATAAATTGAAATGAAACATTGGGCAAATTACATAAAGTTTTGTTTTGCCAATCGCTGAGGATCAGCCAAAGGCTATTAGTCCCGTTTAGGACTTTTTCCCACTCTTTAGACAGTTATTTTGCTGAGCGAGCCTCTTTTGCTCATTTCAATGACGTTTTCATTGCGTCAAGAAAGTTTCTTTTGTGCTACTATTGGCCAAATTTGGTCGTGGTATAATTTTTTTAAAAGAAAAATGGGGGCGTAACATCACCGTCAAGGTATCTTATCTTATACATGGATCTTATTTTTAAAAAATTTTTGAAATTTTGCATGTCGCAACATACCATAGAGTGCGTGGCGGTGATAATTCATGAGGATATTGACAATATTGCACAATTTTTCATCTCCATTCGGAGTAGACGAAGACTGATTGTCTGAATTTGGAACTCTTCCATCAGATTTTGTTCCAGAAGATGGAGTCCTTCCATTGCGATGGTCTCTTGATTTCATCTGGTCGACAGACTGCAGATAGTCCAACTCCAGAAGAAACATGCCTGCAAAAGACAAAAGCCTCAACGAAAAAAACAAAGCTACTATCCATTTGTAAAGCAAACATAGCCAACATACAGTTGGAAAACAGTCAGTGACCGCAATTAAACAGATTAGAATACTGACTCGTCTTTTGAAAAAGCTCAAGTTGCGAAACTAAAAGAAAATAGATGGCTTTTAAGTTCTTTAGAACAATTTATTATCGGCACTTTATTGATAAAATGAACCCAATTTGAGAAAACTGCATCAATAAAGGAATTTTTTACTTCGCTGGGAAACCTGAAAATTAAATTCGAAACTAGTCTATCAGACTTTTTGTGACCTTTACACTTTTGCTGTTCGATAGGCGCAGTTTGCCTTCCTCTTAACAAAAAAAAGAACTAGTATTTTTTTGCTCATGGAGTGCCACCCGACAGGCTGATGCCTTTTTGGTATTCTTCCACGCCGAACTTAATTGTAAACGTACATTTTCATAGAATGTATGGTGATAAATTTTGGCTTGAAAATAAAATGATGATCATAACTGAACTGAAAAAGAAATCAAAAGTCAAACCGTGAAAAATTACATTTGAGCCTGATCAAATTTTGAGACTTTTCCAGATTAAAAAAAATCATCGCGACATATAAGAGTCTTCACTAGGTTCATCGACTTTTAATATTATACGGTCGAACTTGGTTTAGAACTTTGTCTTAACCCAATTTAACCTAAATTTTTCGGACTGGACATTCTAAAAAGAATGTCATAATTACGCTGAAAACGTTTAAATAGGATGAAACTTTCGAATGGTAGCAAACTGTGTTAATGGTACCAAAAGAATGTATAAGTCGGGTCAACAATTTGATCAGAGCAATCATTCCATTTTGACAGATTTCTGCATGCAATTTCGTTTTTTGACAACTTTGTTCTAATAAATTAGGCTTTGCAAGCAAAATTTTTCCAAACTGGGTCAATTGCTCATCAATTGTTTATGAACTTTGTCTCCGAATTTTTAGCTACTAATTTGCTAATTTGATAACAGAACATGATTGATTTTACCTAGAAAAGGTACGACAGGCTGCGAAGTGTTGTTTCCATGAGCTGCAGGGGGGAGTAGATTCCGTAAATTGGAGTAGTTCGATTCAGGGTTGACACATTGTGCGAACTTTTCAAATTTGACTCGATCTTTTTTGTCTACATGCTAAAAATTAAACTTAAATGAAGCTACAACTGTACTTACTCCGTTTCCTCATAATTTCTAAATTACTAAAGAAAGTTGCGAAAAGTTGGAACAGACAGACTTGATCAAAAAGAGCAAAGGACCTATTGAAGAAAACTTTTGCATGCAACAGCTAACTTTTCAGACAGAAAGTATGACTCAAGGTCACCTAAAAATCAAATTTGCATGCGAAAATTGCTTAAAAAAGGGCAGATTGTCAAATTTTGTCTGTTCTTATTTTTGTCTGTTCCAACTTTTTGCTACTTATTATACACAAACCTCCCAAGATCGTTTCAGCCTACTGATAGGTGAGCTGCTGAGAGCTGTGACGACTGCTGAGAAGCCTTGGAAGTTAGCATGTGCGTAAAGATACTAAAATAAATAAATACTAATCAAATGTGAAAAACCCTAATGATTCGGAAATGAAAAAAAGAGGCACACCTTGGAAACTTTGATGAAAAACGACAGCAGATATCCTCTACGCTTACAGTCGTTGCTCGACAACACTTCAGCTCTCGTCCAAAACATTGTCTGCAAACATAAACCTTGGGTCAGGTGACCGTGGGTAGGCCATATACCATCTACACACTAATTTAGCCCCTTTAGGAAAGTGGCACTAATTTATGCGATTTGGATTAGAAAAAACTTTTTCTAGTATAACAGACGCGTTTGCTTGTTTAATACAGAGCCGAAGCTTCGCTTCGCAAACACTATCTAGAGATTTTCCGGTGATCTTGATGAACTGGGCTCTTTTTCCATACCCCCACCTGCAATTTTTACTACTAAGTTACTGCTCACATAGGCCGATCAATATGAAAATTGACATGCGGACTAATTAGGCTGTGCCTGACATATTTGGTCTTCATTATCAACCTTGTAAAACCACTCGATACGCCATAAAAATGATGGTCGTGTGAGGTGGGAGAAAAGGAAAAAGAGTCATGAACTGTTCAAATTTTGCTCGTGGAAATTATCAGAAATATTCTTCCAGTGAGTTTCAGTTTTTTGATGTGAAAATGATGCACCCCACTGTAAAGTTATGGGTTATATCTGTAATGTTGTGTTTTATGTGTATTACTGACGTAGTATGGATTTTAGTAGGTTTAGTAATGAGTTCAGTTGATCTAGCGACCGACGATTGTGTTTGTTTGTAGGGGCGCAGTATTTACAGTAAATGATAATTGGGAATGACAAACAAGTCTTCTTATTAAAAAGGATAGCCGGTTGCTGGACCAGTAGCACAGAATGTTCCGACCACGTGATTTTTAAAAAAAGTTCTCTAAAATTAGTGTCTTTTTTGAGCGTGATATGAAGAGAGAACTATAGACACGCGTAGAAAGTTTAAAAATTTAGGCATAATTGACAACAATAGTGTTCAAAAAGCTAATAGCAAACAAAACTTTATAAAGCAAACTTGAAAAATTTTTTAAAAAAATATGAAAATTGCTCGTTTCGGCGAAGAAATCTTTAAATAAAAGGAATACTAGTTTTAGGAACTTACTTAGCCTTTCCTTCGCAAAAAATATAGTGCAAAAACTTTTTTGATTTTTTTTTTGGTTTTTTGAATGCCTTTTTTTACAAACTAGTATTCTTACTGAAAGTTTTTTTTTCACCTAAACGAGCAATTTGCATATAAAGAAGGCTACTCGATCGCTTTACTAGCTCGAAAATAGACTAAACCTCGGTTTTTCTTGACAATGGGACAAATTTTTTCAAAAGTTTTTAATGTCATTCGAATCACGAATGAAGGGCTTCTAAATGTTATATCACTCAATGCATTCCCATAATTATTTGCGGTTCCTGATTTAGTGTGGAAAAAAAACAAAAATGCACACAAAAATGCAAACTAATACATAGAAAACGTTTGAAAAGACTGTTTGCAGTCAGCCTTCTGATCGGATCAAGGCAGGACTTATTAATTAAGTCATTGGATAATGGTTGCTCATGTGTATTGCATTAGCAAATTTTGATCATCGATTGTAATCAAGTATGCTTCTGGCGTTGCGAAATATTATGCAGGGGAAAAATTCTAGTCACTTAGAGCCATCGTGTCCAAATTATCAATTTAAATGTTGCTTATCTATTTGTAATTTTCTGAAAAGTTTCCGGTCACTTGTAAGTATATTTTGTTTATTGGTGCCTTCCTATATAATTTCTCGCCTTCTTTTCCCAGCGTGGCTTCGGTCTATGAAGCAGATGATGAAAGCAACCGTTTCTACCATATTTCTACCTTTATGGCGTCGACCCATCGGGAACATTTTGCATGTGTTCTAAGATTTTCTTTACATTATGAGGGTCATTTTCTATCGTCCTTGTCGTTCAATAAAAACAAATTAGAAAAGAGATTCCGTCGGCATCGAATTGATCAACATTTTGATTTTGTTTTCAGACTTAACCTCGTTTGGTTCTACACGGGTTGGGGAAAAGAAACTCTATATCTCTGACTCCGGAATTGATTAAAAAGGTTGCTAAAAATGGGATACCACGCTAGCTTACCCGAAAACTGGAATACGTTTTTCTTAAGAAGCAGCGAGATAACTTGATCGGACACAAACGCCTTGCACCCAGCTGCATTATGCTCGCTGATCGTAAGACAAATAAACTTTCTTATACGCTGAAATTTCTTATTTTTTGCAAAAATAACTCGTCATCAACTGACCTGATTAAATCTGCTCGAACACGCTTTGATTCCCACTGAGTTCTTCTTGCTTTTGCCATAATCCCGAAGTTCCTTGAACAAACAAATTACATGATTACAAATTAGCCCCTAATTATGTAGAGCTTTAATATGAGTTACCGATTCCGTAATCTGACGAAAAGCTTCGGCATCACGCAATGTGATCTGTCTCGCTACATCTTCAGGTTGATAATCAGTTATTAACGTATTACTTCTGATGTCATCTTTGGAATTATGAAAAGGATATGTCCGAGACTTCTCGTGCTTCTTTGCCGCATGCCAGGTGTCGTAGGGTGTGCTCTATAAACATAAGTTTCACTAACAATGGCCCTCGCACCCCATCAAGGCAACTTGAGTCAATTAGAACAACGAAATTAGTTTTAAATTAAACAGTAGCTTACGGGTTGCTTTGGCATTGAAATTTAGGTGCAATTTGAAAACAAAGTGCAGTTTTGATTACATTAAGCTTTCTGAAAAAAAATCAAGTAAAAGATCGCCCCATGCTTAAGACGGCCAGTGCACAGATTGGATAGGGCATCAGATTGCTATACAATTGCGACTATAAGAAGATAAAATAACACTTGAACTGCTGTACATAGTAGCCGGAGTCTCAATACAGTATTGTGTAAAAATTAAAGAAAAAATATTATCACATTAATTACAGAGCGGCGATGTGGAGCTTCGCAAAACTAGCAATGCAGAAAACGCATTTTGTTACGAGTGAGTGAAACGAAAAAAGGCAATTATGAAAAAAATAATCTACAAAATTTTAATGAAACAATTACTTGATTAGGAAGAAAAGTTGCGATGTAAAAAACGCATTGCGCAACAAGATAGAGACATTAAAAAAAGGAAGTTCAAAAAAATTTTGGAAAATTAAGTTGGCATTCGACCAGAATGACCTGAAAACGCATGACACCAACGAACTTCAGTTCAAACAGTTTTAGTGTACGATAAGTTAATTTTGATAATTATCGGTCTTATTTACCAAAATGAACGAATTGGGAAGGTTTACGTGCGTGTCGGTCATATTTGGAAGTTTGACCTTGAGCTGAACGTTTAATCCTGATTTTGGTGAGAAAAGTAATTTTTCAAAATTTCGAATTGAGCCTGGCATGCTGTAACAGTCGCCAACTTCGGTCACATACGGTATCTAGGATCGTTGGCCAGTTTCGTGCCTTCATACGCGGCGTCTGGTAATTCCATCTCCCTCGGATCCATCAGCTTGTCCACCACCCTCAACTGTGCTGGAGTGGCCACCCTAATCCTGGCAATGCTAGTTCGGTGTTTGGGAGGCTCCACTACGAATCCCGGACTCCCTAATGACTTGAGAGGTCTATAGTTAATGGGTCCCATCACCGATTTTGTGGGAATCCCAGTCAGATCCGCCGTCTCTGCTATTTTTGCTCTCGAGAAAGGTGTCTCGTGAGCCTTCAGCCAGTCCACACACTGGAGTCTGCCCAAGTCTTCGTGCGACACCTGCTCAAGACCCAAAGCTTTCGCTAACTCTAGCCTGCACTCGAGGTCCTCCAGGTCCAGCTCCTTGACCTTCTCTTCATATTTCAACCTGTTGGTCTCCAATGGTTTCTCCGGCTTCTTCTTCTCCGCCACCACCACCGAGCATATTATCGATCCCTGGGGCGTTGATGACGTTGCCTCATCAGCCTCCATGGGCGCAGCGCCCGGCAACTTGGTTCGGCTATCCCTCGAACTGTCTCTAGAATCAGCCATCGCCCCCAAGCGGCTGGACAAAGCTCTCGAGTTGAAGAAAGGTGGATTTGGGGGTGGTCCGAACGTGACCTGTGCCGTCTCTAGTAACTCTGTCTCCAACGAGTTTATGTGCCTTTGGAAGACATCATTCAACCACTCCACCCCTCTGGGCCTATCAAAATGAATCCCATCCGCAGATGCGTCGTCAGGGAAAGCAGATAGCTCCATTTGCTCGGCCACGTCCAACAGCCCAACGGGGAGGACGCTTTTTTTGTGTATCAGCCTGATTATTTCATTCAGGTTTCGCACCTTTGTGTTCATCTCCATTGCATGTTGATCTGCTTTCATGTTGTAAGGGACGGTGCACACCGTAAGAATGGCCGGATCCATTTGAATTCGCAATTCCTCGAGAATGCAGCTCATCTTGTCGTGCAGCCTCATCACCTTCCTTGCTTCCCCCCTAGACACGTCATTCGTCCCGATCATCAGTGTAACCGTATATACTCTTGCCATACCTAGCATCTCAAGTGTCGCTAACATCTGCGGCGTCGCGGCTCCAGCGAAGCTCAAGATTCCCGTTTTCCAATGGGACTGGATCCGGGTCAACACCCGCAGCAAGCTGTCCCCTATGATCAAGTGGACCGCTCCTTCGGGCACACGTGGCTGCGTGAAGTATTCCACCCAAGCCGCGTTATGGAAGCAATCCCTCCTGTCCATCTGCGCCGTGCTCCAGTCCATCCGATTGTGCCTGTGGTATCTACCTTCCGTATTCTTTTTGTAACTCGAGATTACCACACTCCTGACAGGTTGTTCCCCCCACGTCGATGGCAGGTCCACTCTTGCTGGACTCTCGCGATTCCTTAGTTGTAGCCGCTCGTGCAATTCTTTCAGTCGTGACGAGCTACCACTCACCTGACTACTACCCGGGGTCGAACTTGGCGTATATCCAGGCAGCGCGACGTCCATCAACGGGCGTATTGCTTGTGTCTCTAGACCACGCAGGGAGGACGCTGATTCAGACGGTATCCACACCTCCAGCCCTTCGTTCATATGTTCTTGAGCAGCACGATCGAGGTTGAATCGTCCCTTCGACCTATGAGCCTCATCCACCTCCATGCGTGACTCTGGCCTTGAGCCGGTCACCACCCGCTCTTTGGGCCTAGCTCCCTTCTGCATGTCGAGCTCGCGCTGTCGTTGTTGGATCCTTTCAAGCTCTGACTTCAGCTGCTCGCAATTGGCGGCATTCTCCCGCACCCTTTCTGCCTGTAGCTGTTCAGCTCTCATCATGTCCAGTTCCCTCCGCGCTTGATCCCTCTCAACTTTTGCCGGGTCTCTCTCGAGCACCGCTTGATCCCGGTCGAGGTTCGCCTTGTTTCTCACCCGCTGAGTCCTCTCAAGCTCTCTCTTCATGATGCTGACGTCCGGATATGCTTCCCCCGTCTGCTGTGCTCGAGACATCAATGGTGTCTTGCTCGTGCTCTGGCCCGTGTATCTGGCTGATGGTCTGGCCGGTAGTGGGAATTCCCCTGCTCCATACTCAGTGTTATTACTCAAGCCAGGGTTCCTTGCCAAATCGAACCCCCTTATTGCTCCATCCACGTTCCAAGGCAACCACCTGGTTTGCTCTTGATTAGATATCCCATCGGTGGTGTAGCCCACCATCAAAACTGTTTCTGTCGCAGACTCCCGACACTCGCCCTCATCCTCCAACTGGAGGATGGCGTTCAACATCACTGCCATTCTCTCATCCACTTGAGTATAATCCAGGTCCCTCAGACGTCTGTATAATTCGTCAAGTGTGGGTTTTTTCAAAGCCGTTGGCATGGACTTCCAGAATCGATCTGCCATTTCCGTAATTTCCAAATGATCTTGAGTATTGAGTTCTACCTGAGCAACTTGAGTATTACCTGAGCAACTTGAGTATTACTTCTTGAGGTGTCGTTCAACTTGTGTTCTCTTTCTTCAATTGAATACAGTTTAGTAGTCAAATTGACTTTACCAAATCAATCTGAAAATAACGCTCCATTTTTAGACTAGCAGGTGGTGTTCCTAACCTAAAAACCCCCTTTACTATTATAGTTAAAACCCTTTCCTTTCCGTCCTATTTAAAATAGTTCAATTGGAAATTTTCTAAAAACATGCAGATTCATTTTATGTTTTAGCACCATCAATCATTTAAAATGTTAATTGTCATGCCAATCACCTCTAAAATTCTCTACCTGTTTTGTACCCCCACACCTAGCTCGAGATTCTTCCCTCATGCCCAACTCAAGACCCCCGCGTACCCGACTCAGGCGATGCTCAAGTAGTATTTCTTGTGAAGATGCACCAATATCTCAGTTTCTGCGAAGACCACGTGTAGGATAGCGTACAATTCCCTTGGGCTCAATTTCCCCCTGTTTGGGTCATACACCGGCATTGAGACCTCCGTTATCCCTCTTTCAATCATGAAGTCTCGTAGTCTCGTTAGTGCCAACATCACGTGTTCAGGATCGATAGTGTTTCTGTCATTGACCCTCGTCACTAGGAAGCACAGATATTTGCCCGGGACTTGTGCTACTGATGGTGGAAGCGCGGCCATTCCTCCCAGTCCCGGTCTCTGTCTAAACAGAAACTCCACGTTCTGGTATTCTCTCTTGAAGTCTGCTTCCAGTCTTGATTTGAAACTCATGTCCGCCGTGATACAGATTGCGCTAGTCCTGTCTGACAGAATGAAGTCACTATCCGTTATCAGGATATTTTCTGAGTATTCGTTTGGTATTTCAAACTTCGTTTTGAAATTCCGTCCTATGGTAGGCTCGGCCTCCTCCCCTTCCTGCTCCAGTCCGCACTTTTCTCTCACTTCTCTGAGTTTCTTTATCATCAAATTTTCGGTGTGGGTAAGTCCTATCCCCACTCCCCGGACAAAAATATTTATCGACGTCCCCGTCGATGATGCTGGGTCTGAATTATCTGGCGGAATGTCGAGCCGACTGTCTGTTGCCGTCCAGCCGAAAAGAGGATCCTCCGTTTTCATGTACTTCCCCGCTGATATGTCAACTTGCTGTATGCTCTGTCCTTCCTCGCTTTCGTTCTTGACATCGCGCATCCATTCTAATATCCTCAAGTTCGTATTTTCCCTCCTCTCTATCTCGCTCTGTTCTAAATCCGTCTCCCGCTCCGGCGTCGAGTAGTCTTGCTGTGGATAGTGTTCATTATCATTGATGATCTGCCATTCACCATCTGCCGCCAGCTCGCCCACACTTGTTAGTTCTCTGCATAGGTCATCGGGCTTTATCTTGTCGATCAGGAAATCGTCCCCGTATCTGTTGTACCTCATGCCTGTGCGTTTGCGATTGCCACTCCTTGTCCCCGCTGGTATTGACAAGTCTGGTTCTGTCCACTTCGGCACCTCACCTTGATCCGGATCGTTCCAATCTTCTTCCACAAAAGATTCCGCTTCAGAGTCCGCGTCTATTTTTTCATTGTCATCCAAACTCAAGTTTTCATTGCCATCATTTTTATCTCTGGTGCCCTTCTCGTTCACTTCACATGCTGGTTCCACCAGTAGGTACTCTAGTCCCTCCATGTCTTTTGGTACACACCAGTCCTCTGGGGATGGGATATGAGGCTTCAGGTTCTCATAATGTGCTGCTCGCCCAGTACTCAAGCGGTAGAACCGTCCTTGTTGATGTACTTCAGTTATCATGAATGGTCCTCTCCATTTCTTGAGTAGCTTCTTCGTCCCTTTGGGCGGTGTCACATTCTGGAAAACCCACACATA